ATCGTAATAAATTCTGTGATGGGCTGCATTAATGGTGATGTGTTGTGGCAATAACTCTGCAGATCTTTGTCTGCTGATGTGACATGTGTTCTACCTGCCATGTGCCCGAATGCCATTGGCCCTCCATGTCCAGATGGCCTTCAGCTGTCCTGGGCTTTGCCAACCGGGTTATGCTATTGGTCCCAAGCGATGGGTTTGGGGTGGTTTGCTATGGGCCGTAAGTCTTGTGGGCCTATCCATGTCAAATTGGTTTAGGGCATTTTGGTTTAAATTAAACAAATGAAGGTGGGAAGATTGGTTCAAGATTTTCCAAAGGGTGAGAATTTTTAAATACAACAATGATTCATCCCCCCTTTTCCCCCCACCCCCTTTGACCCCCTCTCTCTCTCATTGGTTACATTTTCTTTTTCTTTTTCTTTTTCTTTTTTTTCCTGCTCCTCCAATCACCACCCGCCACGTGGCAAAGGGGGGTGAGGGGGTGACTCCCAAAAGGGAGTCCCAAGCATTATTCTTTTAAATAATTGTAAGGACAACAAAAGGTCCCACAAAAAATAATTTCGGGAAGACTTGGTAGAACATAGAGTCAAGAACTTTTGTCAAGACACATACAAGCTTCCAGGAAAAACCATGTAAATTAAGATAGCATTTCTCTCATCGTTTTCTTACTTGATACTTCATTTACATACCGTGACATCTATAAATATCCATGGTGCCTAAATAGATATATAATTCATATCTTGGCTCTTCTGTCCTTAATTTGAGGTGTATTATGATCTTATTTTTATAATCCAAACCGTTCATTTTGTAGAGTTTGTTGAGTACTTCATGTCTACCAAAAATCATATTAATTGGATATTAGTAAATATATGATCGAATTGCATATTGTTTATGTTATTTCTCAAAAGAAAAACTTATTATTTATTTTTTGGTTATCGATCATATAGTTGTTGATATCCAATTAATATGATTTTTGGTAGGCATGAAGTACTCAACAAACTCTACAAAATTAATGGTTTGGATCATAAAAATAAGGCCATAATACACACCTCAAATAAAGACACCACAGTCACTGTTGTGTTAAAAGCACAACAGTGACCCCTTTTCCCTTTAACTCCTAACCATTATTTATAATCTCACCACGCCCATAGTGGTTGAAACCTACCAAAGTGAGTATCATTCCAAGTGAGTAATTATGCCTTGTGAATATTTTCTTACTTACAATGAATTAGTCTGCCTATCCACATATCTATTTTTATAATCAAACACTACAAGAAAAAGCGTTTTTGGTGACTAAAACTTCATTTTTCGTCGCTGAAAGTAGTAGAATTGGCGACTAAAATGGAATTAGTCGCCAAAATTGAACACTTTTCCCGACTAAAAGAGTTTAGTCGCCGAATACAGGGGTTTTACCGACTAAAAGGCAGTTTAGTCGCCGAATGTAGGGGTTTTAGCGACTAAAGGTTTAGTAGCCAAAAGTGACGGTTTTTGGCAACTAAAATAATTTAGTAGTCAAAAGTGATGGTTTTGGCGACTAAAAAACATTTTCGTCGCCGATTATAGGTGTTTTGCCGACTAAAAACAGATTGGTCGCTGAAAATGAAGCTTTTTGGCTATAAAAAAAAAATTAGTAGCTAAAAACAGTCAATTGGCGACTAAAATTCAGTTTAGTAGCCAAAAGGGGACTTTTTGGCGACTAAAAACAGATTTAGTCGCCAAAACTGCTTATTTTTAATTTGGTCACTAAAGAGCTATTTTTTGCTGACTAAAAGAATTTTAGTCGCCAATACCTCCAGCGACCATATATACGCGACAAAAGGGGCGACTAAAAAAATTAGTCGCTGAAAGTAAAAACTCGACTTTCGGCGACTAAAAACGGACTTTTGGCGACTAAAAATTTCGTCGCCAAAAATGCTTTTTCTTGTAGTGAAAAAATTAAAAAATTAAAAATCATTTTTTATATGAGTTAAGGGTGTTTGATAAAATTGAAAATTAAAAACTGAAGTCTGAAAATTGAAAACTGAAAATTAAATATTGAAAACTAAATGCAGAATTTTTTAAGCTTAAAAGTTGCTTGATAAAAATTTAAGTACAACTAAAAATAAGTTGTTTGATATGTAAATCAAATTTGAAATTTATTATTTTTAAATTGTATATTTCAATTTTTATATTATATGGTGGTGGTGGTGGTGGTGGTAGCAGTAATGATACTAGTGATAGTAAAACGATGATGATACTTATGGCAACAATGGCAATGGTAATGAATGTAGTTGTAGTGGTGGTGGTGGTGATGGTGGTAATAGCAGTAGCAATGATAGTAGTAGTGTTGTCATGATGGTGGTGGTTGTGATTATGGTGACGATGGTGGCATGGTGGTGGATCGGTGGTAGCGATAATTGTAGTGATGGTGGTTGTGTTGGTGGTAGTGGTAGCGCTAGTGGTAGTGGTGGTGACGGTGGCATGGTGGTGATGGTGGCAGTAGTAGCGGTTGCAATGGTGATGGTAGTAGTGAATTTATAATAGTATATATTGATACTTATATTTAGTATTTATAAATTCAGTTATAATTAAGTAATTTTAAATGACTTAAATTTTTTTTAAAGTTTTAGCCAATGTTTTAAGAGATACTTAAATTTTTAAGTGATATCAATTATGGTTGTCAAACGGATTTAATTGATTATTACTTAGGCCTCGTTTCGAAAGTTGGCTATTTTATTAGGCTATTTTAGTTTTTAACTATTTTAGTAAGCTAAAATATTTGTATTTTGGAAGATGATTAATTTTTTTGTAGTTTGATGTGATGTTTGTGAGAAAAAAAATAAAATAATTATGAGTTTGATGTAATATTTTGTCTTATTGGCTATTTTAACATATTTTGCCTTTTGTGGATTTTAGCCAACAAATCCTCCAAACCCAACTTGCCAAACACCGCCTTAATACATTCAGTTCTAAGTACTAAATCATGTTATCAAACACCCCATCCTCTTTTCCCTATTTTTTGTTGGCCTTACCATGCCGTGGATCGTGGTGTATCCAAATGAATAATTCTATCCCATGCTAATAATTTTACTAAAAATACAAATGGTTAAATGTGATTGATTGTGAAAATAATAATAACATTTTTATGTGGACATAAATGCTTTTAATAGAGTTGTTAATTATAAAATTTCAAGTAGATATAGCATTTCTCGTATCCAAATATCCCGTATGAGTAAATGAATTGCAATAAAAACAATTTACATTTGAAAATTTTGTTTTAAAGGTCTCACTTTCTCACCAACTTCGTCCATCCATGCCTGTCTCACTGTACCTCACTTGCACTCTCTCTAATCCATGGTCTTATTCACATTTGGTGCAAAAGAATGCAAAAATCACACATATTTTTTATTTTTATTTTATTTGTATTTAATAAACTTTTTTTTATATATTTTAGTAATTGTAAAAAAAGATTAAGTATTTAGATTAAGTACATTTAAAGTTTAAAAAAAATTAAAATGTGAAAAAAATTACTAAAAATATTTAAAAATCAAACAAAACAGAATCCAAATTTTCAAACCTACCTCAGGCGCTAATGCTTATGCGTGAATAATGGCGCATTTTATTAAGGCACACCACAATTAGCTCCGTTTGGTAAGAGATTTTTTGGTGTAAAAAAAATTAAAAAGTCACAAAAAAAATTCAAATTTCAAATTTCAAATTTCAAATCCAACTCTATTAGTAATATGTCAAATCATACAAATTAATCAATCAATTTTTTTTTTTCACACCTATCTATTCAATTAAAAAATCATTTCAAACACGTTAATTTTTTTATCTCATAAAAAAATTAAAAGTAAAAAAATCACTAAAAACCTAGGTTCCAAGCGGCCTCTTAGAAGAACAATTAACGCCAACCATTTGTATAGATCAGTGGCTACCTGATTGGTATAGTTAACAACCGAAAACAGAGTTTCAATAAACAATAATTATTCACAAATATAAAAAGTATAATATCAAATTAACTACTAATTTAATAGTATTCACAAATATGAAAAGTATTATATCAAATTAACTACTAATATAATAATAATTAGGGAAAATTATGTAAATAGTCCGTATATTTTACACGATGTATTAATTTGGTCCCTTTAGTTTCAATTTGCTCGATTTTGCCCCTTAATTTAACGGATTGTGTCATTTTAGTCCAATAAATAACGGTTGTTAAGTTAATTTAACGAAAAGTCAAACAATGTACCAATTTAGTCCTTGTATTTTCCACAATGTGTCAATTTAGTCCCGGTCAAAATCGAGAAAATTGAAACTACAGGGACCAAATTGACACATCGTGTAAAGTACAAGGACCAAATTGACACATTATTTGACCTTCTGTTAAATTAATTTAACAACCGTTATTTATTGGATTAAAATGATACAATCCGTTAAATTAAGGGGCAAAATCGAGCAAATTGAAACTACAGGAATCAAATTGACACATCGTATAAAGTACAAGGACTATTTATATAATTTATCCTAATAATTAAAAAGTCAACACAGTCACCAAGCCCAACTACCTAGCCCAAACTTAAGAATAAATAAACAATTATAAACAACCCTCACAATGAGACAAAAATAAACACCACAAAGAATTCAAATCCTTCTCTATTGTATATTATTTGTTTTACCACCATTTCATATCATTAAGAAATGAAAAAAACATTATTTAGTTTCATGAATAATTATTTATGAACAGAAATCAATTCTGAATATCCACTTAAATAGTTATTCCAAACGATCACAGAAAATGGGTGACATATAGCAATATTTGCCTTTAAATATAGAGCAATGATTGAATTGGTTTAGGGCATTTTGGTTTAAATGAAACAAATGAAGGTGGGCAGATTGGTTCAAGATTTTCCAAAGGGTAAGAATTTTAAAATAATTGTAAGGACAACAAAAGGTCCCACAAAAAATAATTTGGGGAAGACTTGGTAGAACATAGAGTCAAGAACTTTTGTCAAGACACATACAAGCTTCCAGGAAAAACCATGTAAATTAAGATAGCATTTCTCTCATCGTTTTCTTACTTGGTACTTCATTTACATACCGTGACATCTATAAATATCCATGGTGCCTAAATAGATATATAATTCATATCTTGGCTCTTCTGTCCTTAATTGGTCTTTCTTTGAGCTTTAATCCAATGGCAATTGTCAGTTCCCAAGAAACCTCCTCCTCCAATTCTCATTGTAGTTATGATGTGTTCTTGAGCTTTAGAGGTGAAGATACTCGCAAGACGTTCACTGACCACCTCTGCACAGCTTTAGTGCACGCAGGATTTCGTACTTTCAGAGATGATGATGGAATTGAAAGAGGGGAGAATATTAAGTTAGAATTGAACAAAGCAATTCAAGAGTCGAAGATTTCAATAGTTGTCTTCTCGGAGGACTATGCATCTTCAAGTTGGTGTCTCGATGAACTTGTCACGATCCTTGAACGCAGGAGGACAGTTGGACATGTAGTTCTACCTGTTTTCTATCATGTGGATCCATCTCATGTGAGGAAGCAAAAGAAAAGTTTCAAAGAAGCATTTACGAGGCATGAAGAGAGATTTCGTGCAGAAGTGAGTGAAAGAAAAGTTGAATGGATTGGCAAAATGGAAGAATGGAAGGCAGCACTTAGAGAAGCTGCAGATTTGGCAGGGATGAACTTACAAAATCAAACTGACGGGTAATTTTCTCCCAAGTCCTTTTCTTAGCTAAGCATTACTTGTATCACCATTTTTTGGATTTCGTAGATTAAAGTATTTCATACTAGGGCCTTTTGAATGAAGAATTATGTGTTCAAATTTTGGAATGAATTGTTTTGTTAATTATGACAGATGTACATAGTTTAGTTTTTGTAAGATAACCTTAAAACACAAAAGCATCCTACAAGTCAGTTTCCCAAACAAACAACTTGAATTTATTAACTCATGATTTTTTTAAGATGCTCCTTCTTTTCAAGTTATATGAAAAGATCACACGTAGCTATTCATTTCTTTTCGTAGACATTTTATTGAAACAATTGTGCTACGTAGCTCGAAAGAGAGATTCCCTGAATCCCCCGAATTCAAAACGACGTTGTTTCATCGTTTTGTTTTTTTTTTTTTTCAATAACTGGAAGAAGAAAAATCAGAAAAGAAGAAGAACAAAGAAGAAGAAGAAGAAGAAGAGAGAGACAGAGAGATCATCAACCACCCATCATCATCATCATCAACCACCCAACACATCATCATCATCATCATCATCACATCATCACAGATCGGAGGCGGAGATCAGAGATCGAAGGCCAGGCTGCGACGATCGGAGGCAGAGGCAGAGGCGGAGGCGGCGGCGATCGACTCTCTCTCTCTCTCTCCATTCCCTCTTCCCCTCTCTTCTCTTTCTCTCTTTCTCTTCCTCTTCCTCTTCTTCACTCTTCTATCTGTTTCAGACATAAGGGGGGGAAAAAAAACTACCCAAAATGACGTCGTTTTGGGCAGTCGGGGGATTCGGGGAAGAGAGATTTGAGCTACGAATGATTATTCTTTTTGAAATTTGGCCCATTATTTAAAAGTTTCAACAACTTGGTTTACTAATCAAAAATTGAAAAACAGAACAGTTTATATTAGATAAAAGAGTATTGTTTCAAAACCATGATAGTGAAAGCCCTTTCTTTTCATCTAAGACTCTTCCAATTGTTTCAACAAAGACAGCAACATGGTCTTTTGGTTCAGTATTGCATGAGAATTAGCAATTAATTTCAATTGATGGCATTCTTATTGTTCTTTATTTTCCATCTTAATCTGATAATTAGACTTGAGTCAAAGTTTATCCAGAAAATTGTGAAAGTGGTTGGAGACAAACTAAGTCGCACAACCTTGGGTATTGCCCCCCACCTGATTGGAATATATTCTCGAGCCAAAAACATTGGGCTTTGGTTACAAGATGAGTCTAGTGATGTTGGTATAGTCGCAATTTGTGGGATGGGTGGAATAGGGAAAACAACTATCGCCAAAGTACTATATAATTCGAACTTCTCAAGATTCGAAGGTAGCAGTTTTCTTGCGAATGTAAGAGAAATTTTAAAACAGCAAGATGGTTTACTTCGATTACAACGACAACTTCTTTCAGATATGTTAAAGGGAAGAAAGGAAAAATTGTACAGTGTTGATGAAGGAGTTGTAAAGATTAAAAATGCATTATGTTGCAAAAAAGTTCTTGTAGTCCTTGATGATGTGGATACAGTAGATCAATTGGATGCAATACTTGGAATGAGAGACTGGCTTTCTCAAGGTAGTAAAATCATCATAACCACTAGGCGTGAGCAATTGCTCAAGGCTCATGAAGTTTGTCAAGTGCACAAGGTTGAAAAATTGGATAATGATGAATCCTTAGAGCTCTTTAGTTGGCATGCCTTTGGGAAAAATTGTCCCATTGGTGGTTTCATTGAGGACTCAAAAAGGGTGGTACATTACTGTGGAGGGCTTCCATTAGCTATAAAAATTTTGGGTTCTTCTCTGTCTGGAAAAAGTTTAAATATCTGGAAAAGTCAATTAGAAAAATTGAAAGCATTTCCTGATCATGAAATCCTTGGAAAACTCAAAATAAGCTATGACTCTTTACAAGATGACCACGATAAAAATTTATTCCTCCATGTTGCTTGTTTCTTTGTTGGGATGGATAAAGATTGGGTAGTCACAATTCTAGATGGATGTGATTTTTACACAATGGTTGGGATTCAAAATCTCATTGATAGATGTCTGTTAACAATTGATGAATGCAAAAAGTTGGTGATGCATCAATTGGTTCAAGAAATGGGAAGAGAAATTGTTCGGCAAGAATCACCTAAGGAGCCAGGAGAACGTAGTAGACTTTGGAATCACAAGGATTCCTTGAATGTTTTGAGAGAAAATACTGTAAGTGTTAACCTTGTTGCTTTTCATGTTTATTTCTATTTATTTATGTAGTTATGCTATTTATATCGGAAAAATGATCCAGAAAAATCTTTGTATAATATAATAAAAGAAAATGGGTAAATTACATATATATATATATATATATCATCTATGATAATATGACAATTGGATTTTTGAAATTATCAGTTTCATTTCTGTTGTTTTTATTTGAAAAAGGCCACATCATTTTGTATGATTGATCTTTGCAGAAATTATATTTTTATAGCATTACTCTTATTGATAAAAATTGCCCTCCTCTTGTTCATTGCCAGGGGACAAGAAAAATCGAAGGCCTCACACTTGATATGAATTTGTTCAAGAAAGACAAACATGACAGGACAATTTTTGGTGTTAATAGAAAACGTCATTATGATGAATTCCTCGACACACCATTTTTAACAAATGTAGGCAACTCATTTAAAAGATACTGTTTTGGCATGTTCTCCTCCAAGAATGTAGGCACTGCTCTAGGAAATTCAAATCAAGTAACTTTGGAAGTTGATGCATTTGCAAGGATGCATAAACTAAAACTTTTGCAGCTCAATTATGTGCAAATAAGTGGAAGCTTGAAAATTTTTCCTAAAGGATTACGATGGTTATGTTGGCATGGATTCCCTTTCAAATTTATACCCTGTGATTTTCCTTTGGAGAGCTTGATTGTTCTTGACATGAGTTATAGTAGCTTGCAAAAAATTTGGGAAGGAGACAAGGTATGTTGCAAATGTATATATATTTTTTTAATTTCGTATGAAAACTGAAGAAATATTAATAGTAGCTTTTTTCTTGTTTAACAGCTTCTCAAGTCACTAAAAATCCTTGATCTTAGTCATTCCCATTGCCTTAAAACTCCCGACTTCTCGAAAGTCCCCAATCTGGAGAAGTTGATATTTAAAAATTGTGCAAGGCTAGTTGAGGTTCACGAATCCATTGGACACCTTGAGAGACTTGTTTTGTTCAATTTAAAAGATTGCAAAAATTTGAGGAAGCTCCCGAGAAGCATTTGTATGCTAAAGTCTTTGGAAACACTTGACATCTCAGGTTGCTCAAATCTTGAGGAACTGCCAACAGGAATGGAGACTATTGAGTCATTAACAGTTCTCCATGCAAATAGAATTTCCATAAGTCAATTACTCTCTACCAGTAAAGAGGTCAAATCATGGCATTCATTCATCTATCCCTCTCTGTTGAAGCCAAGAAAAAGCATGGAAATTTCATGGGCTCTTTTACCACGGTCCTTGGTACACTTAAGTCTTGAGAACTGTAATTTATCAGATGATGATTTTCCTAGGGATCTTAGCAACCTATCCTCGTTGCAGATTTTAAATCTGAGTGGTAATGCAATTCGTAGCATCCCAAATTGCATCAGAGATCATTTTGGACTCCAAATCCTTTACTTAGAGGAGTGCAAAAAGCTATGGTCAGTTGAAGTGCAGCACAAATTAAAAGAATTATATATCTCAGGATGTATATTGTTGGAGAAAGTAACCTTTCAATCACTTCCATTAACCCTAGAATATAACAATATGTGTGGAAATCGATTAGCCCATCACAGGTTAGCAAGACCATTACTATGGTTGGACCCGCAGCACAATCTAGTTGAGTTTGAGGGAGATTTCAAGTTTGAACCTCTAGGAAATATTGACATGGAGATAATTAACAATTTGGGCTTGTCCAACTTAGGATCCATGGGATGCTCAAATGTTATGCTTTCATGCCATGGGTCACAGAAAGCAAGGAAGTTTCCCCTGCAGGTCTCTCTCTCTCTCTCTCTCTCAGTATATACATAATCTTTAAATTAATTATGCTTTATGTCGCACAGGGATGTCATGAAACACACATATTCTGTGCTTATTGTTTGGGAAGCAAGGTTCCAGACTTGTTTAATCTTAAAAATGAAGGATATTCAATATCATTTACTGTGCCATCGCATCTTAATTTCAGAATCCGATGCTTGAGTGTATGTTCTATTTATGCACTTTCTGATAATCAAAAAGGACATGAATATAATTGGGACGCACACACTATTATCAGCAATACGACCAAGAGTTTGATTTGGAGTCATTCCCCACATGTCTTTGGCATTCCAGAAGCTGATGAGGACATGATGATGTTAAGTTATTGGAAGTTTGAAAATCAGTTGGAAAGTGGCGATGAACTGAATATTTCAGTGGTTGGAGATGTAGATTTTCAAGTGAAGGAGGTCGGAGTCCATCTTGTGTACAAGGAGCAAGAAGAGAAGAGTAGCCAATCAACTAGTGAAGAAGCATCCCAACAATTCTCTCTCTATGGAAATGTAGTTCCCGGAAATGCATCTGTAGTACGTCCAGCGCGCAAAAAAGTCTACAGTCTAGGCTGTCAATGGGAGAATTGTAGAATTTGTGACGGTCTATAATCTCAGCCTTCATGCACTACTACCTCGGGAATTGGTTGTTAAGGATTTCGATTAAGTGATATGAATCAGTTGTATATTGCTAGTGCTTCTGCTTTGTGATTTTCTGTTATTTAGGAAGAAGTTATTTCAGTGAGAGAGAATATGTTGCTACTTTTCTTTGATTTTGATGATGCTGTGTACTACTGTTTAGGTGAAGCTACTGCTACTGGGATTATATTTTACTTTGGAATTGCTCAGAGTTATTTTTAATTTTGAATTACTCATATGCGTTGCTGACGTAAATCTTACTTATTGCCTGACAAAATCAAATTCAAATAGTCTATTTTAAAATTGGAGCACTGTTTCAATCCATGGGCTTCGTCCTAGATTTTATTTTGATAATTCGAACTATTCATTTTTACCAGACACTACCTTTGTCTATTTCTTTCACATAAAAATAATAATAATAATAATTAGATCAATCTAATAATAATAATCTATTCAATTTATCACATTTTTCACCAAAAAGATAAATAGTTTATTTTTAAAAGCACAGTTGTTGTCCAATTTTTGGTGTCACCTAATAAATTGAATATATTACAATTATCGGATGGACTTAATTTTTTGTATAGATGAAATACAAGAAATATTTAACAAGATAAACAATTTGAATTATCAAAATGGAACCCATGATAAGTTCCACTAGTCTAAACAGTGTCCTCCAAAATAATTGGAGTGGGTGAATAATAAATGAATAATAATCACCCACTTAATAACTAATGACAAATAAAGTCAAGCACACAAAAAATTTGCACGTTACAAATTCGTGTGTTATCATTTTAAATCAAAATATTCAGCAAAATGGATTTTTAATTTTAAAACGACACTGCCGCCTCATTTTAATTAATTATTCCATATTTAAATTATGGATTCAAAGGTGTTTTGCCAGTCTAATATTTAACCCCGGTTTGGTTTTCATGTTGAGCTAAAAAATCACAAAAGGATGAAAAAGAAGTTTAAAAAGTCAAAATACTAAAAAAGCCAACAAAAAGTTTGTCATTCCAAAGCTAAAAAGCCAAAAAAGCTAAACAAGAAAACCAAACAAAAAAAAAAAATAGGCTAAAAAAGTCAAAAAAATCCAAAAAGCAAACTAAAAAAATCATTGCCAAATGACCCTCAAGGTTGAAAATTCTGTTATGTTAGGGTCCATAGGACTCACCATGAATTCTACTTTGATAATCTAAATAATTCATTTTGTAAAGTTATCTGTGTATATCATGGTCCAAGAAAATTAGGTCAATACAATAATTATAATTTTATTTTTATTTTATCATGTTTGTCTCCTAATGTCATTTATTTTTTTTGAAGACAGATGCTTTGGTTTAGTTTTTTAAATGAATTTTGAATTTCAAGTTGTATTTTAGAAAATAAGTTTTTGAAATGAGTTTTGAAAAGAAAAAGTTTGATTGGTTATAAATTTTGAAAAGAGTTTTGAAACTAGTTTTTGAGTTGTATATTTCGAAAACTAGTTTGGTTATGAGTTTTGAAAAAAACATTGAAATTAATTTTTCATTTTATTTGTTTTTTGAATTTTTAAATTTTAGTAAAAAAATATTTATTTTTTTATTTTTATTTTTTGAAAAAAATGATTTTTTTTAAAAAAAAATTATACATAAGTTATTTTAAAAAAATAAATATTTTTTTCATTTTTTTTAAATATTTTAAATATTTAAAAATTTTATTTTTTATTCTAAATATATATTTTATTTTTTATTAAATATTTTATTTTATTTTATTAAATATTTTTTATTTTTTTTAATTTAAAAATTTTGGATCTCCCATATATATCTAAATCATCATAAATTATTTGTCCAATTATCTAAGTCATAACAAATTATTTGGCCAATACTTAAGAAAATAACAAAATATTTTTTCAAAAAAATAAATAAATAAATAAATAAATAAATTTTTTTCAAAAACAAAAATTAAGAAAAATATATTTTTTAAAAAAAATACAAAATAATTTTAAAGAATAAAATAAAAAAAATGAGTTTTTTTTTTTAAAAAAATAGAATTTTGAAAACTTGCTTGGTTATGAGTTTTTTTAGATAAGTTTTTGAAAAGAATTTAAAATTTTTGTTTTGTTATGAGTTTTGAAAAGCATTTTTTTGTTTTCTGATCCAAACCATGATTTGAAAACAAAACCAAATGTTACCTTCATTTTTCCCCCAAAACTATACTCGTCTAATCAATTTCACACCCAAACTTTTAGTATTATCGAGGGCAAATTACACTAACAGTCCCTATAGTTTGAGACTTGTGTCACTTTGATCCCTGACTTTTCAATTATGTCATATTTGACCCTGAATTTTGAATCATATTCCAAATAAGGACAATTGAAGATACCATTGCTTAATTTTAAGGGAAAAATTGTCAATTTGATAAAATATAAAATAATTTGACAAAAATAAATGTCAAAAAAATATTTTTTAATTTTTAAAAATTATTTCTACAAACTAAAGATAAAATTGGGTAAAATTTATATATCTTTTAGACATTTATTTATATATTTATTTTACCAAATTAATTTGTATTATATGTTTGAATGATGATCATGTAATGGGTGGTTATTTTTATTTTCATTAAATTAGTTTCTATTTTTTCAAAAGTCAAATATAGCGACAACTTCATATTATCATTATTCATTAAATCAAAAAATTCAAAACCAAAGGCATTTCATATATTAAATATATCGATTACACATTAAATTCTAATAACCACCCATTACATAATTATCATACAAACACATAATAAAAATCAATTTGGTCAAATAAATAAATGTTTAGAAGATTTATCAATTTTACATAATTTTATTTTTTGTGGATAGAAATAATTTTTAAAAATTTAAAAATATTTTTTTGACATTTATTTTTATCAAATTAGTTTATATTTTATCAAATTGACGATTTTGCCCTTGAAATTAAGCAATAATATTTTCAATAGTCTTTATTTGGAACAAAAATTTAAAATTCAAGGTCAAATGTGTCACAATTGAAAAATCAGGAACTAAAGTGATACGAGCCCCAAACTATAGGGACTGTTAGTGTAATTCGCCCTATTATCAATTTGCCCCCTAACCTATTTAAATAGTGATCAATTTACAATCCTGTCATCACATTTGAATAGAAAAAGTTTAAAATATATATATTTTGACCCCAAATTTTAAATTATAGATCCAAACTCACCCTCTTCTACCCAAGCTCACCACCTCTCCTCTTTGTACCTTCACAACTTTGCCAGCTAGCCATTATCCTCCCTTTGCCACTGCAAGCCCTCAAAGACAAGGCGAGCAAGCCTACTTGGTTAAGAAAAGATTTGAATTTTAGGTAGTTGAGACTTGAAAACAAAACCGACCCACAAGACTAAAAGAACCAATCAGCTAGAAAATCAAAAGCAGAATCAATTTGAATCTTGTTTAATGCCGAATTAGTCGAAGCTTTTGGACTCTTGAGCTTCTTCACGTTATCCTCCAACATTTCCAAAGCACCCAAATCTTCATTTCCACTCGATAACACCAAATGTTGTTGTTTCAATTTCAACCCAGTCAAATTTGTAAGAAATGGTTTTGGAAAAAACAGTTTTTTTTCTAAAACTTTGGTCTATTTTAAAATTGGAACCCATGCACCAAGTTGGTAGGTCTATATGGCAACGCGTTCTTTGCCACATAACGATTCACATCGTATATTTGGTTGCTCAAAACCATTATCAAGTCAATGGGAAATCAATACCAAAATGAGCTCAATGGAAATGGTGTTTTGGTGAGGTGTTCATAAAGGATGGAGAAAAAGCTTGTCCAACATTGCTTGAGTGGGCAAACTTGATGTAGGTTTACAAGCCTTGAGTTTGCATCTTGGGGAGGGCCCCAAGAGGTATCCAAGTTTTGTGAAAGGAGAGATTATAGGAAAAATGGGCCTTGACGCATTGGACCCAAAAGCTACCACACGCGTGCCACCGCCGCCCAGACCGGACCGGGCCTAGGCGTGGGTGTGAGGCTGGGTTGGGCTTGTGTAGTCCAATGCTTATTTTTTGAGCCAAAAACATTTTAATTTTATTTTTTCTAAAATTAAATTCTTACTGTTTGGAATTTGAATTTCGATTTTGAAATTCAAAATAAATTTTGAATTGACCCCAACGTTTCTGAACGTTGGCAATTTAGTCCAATGGACCTTTTCCTCCAACCCAAACAAATTCTTTACCAATTCAAATCCAACCTGAACAAGTTTTTTACCTGTTCAACTCTGTCCTAAACCTGGGTGCAGGTGCGAGGTGTGAGGTGTGATCGTCCAATGCTTATCTTTTTAGGCCAAAAACATTTGAATTTTATTTTTTCTAAAATTAAACTCTTACCGTTTGGAATTTGAATTTCGGCTTGAAATTCAAAATAAATTCTGAATTGACCCTAACGTTTCTAAACGTTGGCAGTTTAGTCCAATGCACCTTTTCCTCCAACCCGAACAGGTTCTTTTCCTGTTCAACTCTGTCATGAACAGCCACCAAGTCTCCTATAAATAGACAAGTCTTCCATTTGGTTTTTCATTGAATTTTCATTCTTTCTTCTACTTTTGCTTCCTGTATTTTGCTGCATATATTTTTCTGTGAGAAAGAGTGTAAACACAAAGTGTGTTCATTGGACATTTAGTCTGTAGTGCTACTACTAATTGTCATCAATCATTTTATCCTGGAAGATAAACGTCTGCATTCTGAAAGCATCATAGAAAGGACAAGTCTGTCTTAAGGAAACAGTGTTGAACACTGGACTTGATTGAATTTCTGGAGAAGTAATACTGTAAGTAGTTTGTTTATAATTTTCATTTCAGGTTTCAATTTTTTTTACAAATTCTATTTTGCTTTTTGTAACAAAATAAGAATCTGTTTTCCATATTTTATTATTCTATGTTCTGTTTTGATTTAAGTAATCAAACAAACTTTCTTTTTCCTTAATCAATCCTTCGAATACAGTCCAACAAAATCAATCACCGCCATTGAATTAGGTTGGTATGAAGACAAACAAGTGCTAGGATTTTGACAAGTTTGTTTCCAATGATTGTGAGAAGCAGGAGAAGGTAAAGGATGTAGTAATTGTTGTTATTGGTAGTGATGGTGGTTTGAGGAGGAAATAGGTTTGGCAACTCTCTCTTGATATTCTCCAAAGTAGTACGAAAAAGGTTCGAAGCAAAGAAAGAAGATTCTCACAAAGTGCACTTGACTTTGATTGCTTTAGGAAGATTTATATGGGTTTCAAATCAAAATGGGTTCATGATGTGCCCAGTACCAAGCTCCTTTACCTTTAATCGCCTTGGTTTGAACTGTGACTAGACCTTCGTATCGCTTGTTCAACGCTTTCAAAGCTAAGTCTTCTGTGGTTCAAGATTGTGGAGCTGAAAAGTATCAGCTGGGGTCGAATTAGCACTATTCACCATTAAAGATATAGTGTGTTTGTATGTGTGTGTGTATGTGTGTGTGTGAGAGAATGAGTATTTGAGAGAAGAATCAGAAGCAACCCAAAGCTTGTTGGTGTCTATCATTGTAGTTTTATGTTATGGGTGTTGGTGACTAAACGCAGAATGGGAGGATTGAGGGAGGAATTGCGGCGGAGGGAAGAGGATGGCTAGCCAGCAACGGCAATAGCTGGCGGAGTTGTAAAGGTGTAGAATGGAGAGAGAGTGAGTTTGAATCTATAATTTAAAATTTGAGGCCAAAATGTAATTTTTTTTCTTTTAACTTTTTTGTTTATATGTGACAGTAGGAGACACATTGATCACTATTTGAATAGGTTATTAGGGGATAAATTGACAATATCAAAAGTTCATGTGTAAAATTGATCATGCGGATATAGTTTGGGAGGGGAAAATGAAATTTCCTCCTAAGATTATTGGATAAACTTAATTTTTTCAATGAATAATATACATAAAAGATTGTACAAAATGAATGATTCGCATCAACTTTGTCTACCCATTTTACTAAACTACTTGTAAACTTGGTAACCATTGTGAGCATGCAGAATTGGTTTTCAAATTTGTTTTTAGTATTAAAAATATTAAAAATTAATTTAGTGAAATAAATAAAAATACTCAACCTTTTTATATGATTTTTTCTTTTATAAATGGAAATATGCCTTTGGGATTTAATTTCATCAAAGGAAATATCATTTTGCCCCCCAAACTTTCACGCGTTTTTTAATTTGAGCCTAGATTTCGATTAATATCAATTTTACACCCAAACTTCTGAACGTTTGATCAATTTGGCCCCTACCATCACATTTCATCTACAATTGAACGGAATGTGTTGACGTGATACCAAAATTTATTTAGAATTTCATTTTACCCCCCAAACTATACCTTAAAAATCAATTTGCCACCCAAATGTAAAAAAATTAAATTTTAAATAATATATACTTTGCAAAAAAAATAATAAAAAAAATATAAAAATCCTCATTTAGAATTATCTGGAGACAATGAAGCACGAGTATTTCGACAAACATGTCATATCCATACCGGGGACTTATTGAATTTTGAAATTTTTTTCTCACTCAATTTTGAAATTACTATTAGTCGATCAATTCTATTGAAATTAATTTGGATAATAAACTAGTTACAATTGTGCGCACATACACACATAGAATAGTCAACAAATTTTTAGCTCAATAAGTTTCTTCAGGATCGACTCGAGATAATTTGAGACCTATGAAGCACAGGTACGGATATGAGTACTAGTATTGGTACAATATGGGTACATTAACACAGTAAAATTGAAAAAAAAAAGTTTGGTACAAGTGCGGATTAATACATTTGTAAGAAAATATTTGTTTTAAATTTGGAAAAATACAAAATTTATTTAAGTGGTTTAATTTGTTAAATCCAATATACAATTGACATTTAATGCCAAAAGTATAGGTACAAGATAAGCCATAATTAAATATCATTATATTAAATAATAGTGGTGCTACATGCACCAATTAGTATACCAACTAGTGTACCAATTGATGATGTGGTGCATATAACATTATTCATTAAATAACTTACAAACTATAGCTTAATTTTAAAACCATGCTAAGCACAAAACTAAAAAAAAAATCTAGTAAAAGGAATTTTATCTTTGTAGGAGAAGAAAATATTGTTTTAACTAAGGTACGGCACAACTTGGGTATAAACTAGATATGTCCGGGTATGCCAAAAATTAAGAAGAAAAAAATTGAGTACGTGTTTTGTATACCCGGTATGTATGGAGAAATATCATAGTCAGTAAGTATCCGATACGAGTATGACATACTTGTTGAAATATCCATGCTTGATAGTCTCACGATAATTCTAAATGAGAATTATTATATTTTTATAATTTTTTTGCAAAGTATATATTATTTCAAATTTAATTTTTCATTATTGAAATAAAAAATTATTTGTTAAATATTTAAATTTATTTTTTTATATTTGGAGGGGGGGAATTGATTTTTAAGGTATAGTTTGGGGATAAAATGAAATTCCAAATAAATTTTGGTGTCATGTCAGCACATTCCGTCCAATTGTAGACAGAATGTGACATCTTGGGCCAAATAGATCAAAATTTTAAAACTTCAGGTGTAAAATTGATATTAATTGAAGTTTGTGAGTCAAATTGAAAAATACGTGAAAGTTTGGAGGGCAAAATGATATTTCCTTTAAAGTGTGAGATTTCTATACTAATTTTGGTTTATATTAATATTAATATGTGTACCATATGCAAGTTATGATATTTGTAGGTTTGATTATTACAAATGTTATAATTGCATCCTTTTATAATCATAATTAAAAGGGAAAAAAATCGTAACCAAACACCATATAAAGTATAATAAAAAAATATTTTGGGTCATAGCCCAAATAATGTCATAACAACATCACAATAAGTCATAATAAACACCACAATATACATAACAAAGTAATAATTAAGTCATAACTAATATGAAAATAAGTTATAATCAAATATCACAAATATTATCAGTGTGTTTCGTTTGTGTATTGAGATAAATTTTCAAAAACAATTTGGAGGAGAGAGTTTAGAATTTTTGTTGGTTTGTTTGGTTGTATATTTTGAAAATAGTTTTGGAGTGTGGGATGATTTGATATTTTGTTGTAGTTGAATAGATGTGTGTGGGAGAAAAAATGATTGAGAAGAAGAGAGGAGAAAGAAAAAGTGCTTGATTAATGTGTAGGAGAGAGAAAGTGATTTTGAAAAACAAATTCAAAAAATTTGAAGGAAACAAAGTTTTGAAAAATTTTCTCAAAAATTGTATCTTGAGATACAAACCAAACAAGCATAAGTTAGGCATATGATACATACCCTAAAAAGGTGTGCATTATAGAATTTCCTTATGGGTCCAGCTTGTCTCATGTTTGAGATCAAGATTGGACCGTCCAGTAAGGTCCAAGGGCTCATTTTTTGATCCCGTTTCAATAATCTGAACCATTCAATGTGTAGAACTCGTTAAGTACTATATCTCTGTAAAAAATTTCGTTGATCGGATATCGATAGCTATTTGGTCGTATCAGATTTGTATAAAAAAAATAGACAGTGAAAAAATAAATAGTTAACAGAAATTTGATCCAATCAAATAGCTATCGATATCTGATCAACATGATGTTTTATAGGGCCATAGTATTCGATGAGTTTTACACATTGAACGATTTAGATTATCGAAACGAGGCCCAAAAATGGGTCTATGGGCCGGACTGGATGGTCTAGTCTTGATCTCAAACATGAGACAAGCTGGACCCTTTCCCTATAAACACACATGAGGTTTTCCTTTTCGAGATTGGTGAAGAAAATGAAGTTATGAGAGAGAAACAAGGGTTTAGGACTATGGAAAGAAGGTTATGGTAATGGTGGAGGTGATGGTGGCCATCGATGGATCGATTGATGGGTTGAGGTTGAAAAAAAAAATGAGGAAATTTTATTTTGCCTTTCAAATTATATCTCGATAATTTTTTATTTATTTATTTTTGGATGGGTACGATAATTAATTTAACTGTTGTACATTTTATAATTTTAATTTTGCACTTAACTATTCAATTCTGGATCAATTTCATGCTTCTGAAGCACATTGTTTTTCCAGTTCGGTGGTACGTGACACCTGTACTGAGCTAGTGTTCAGGTGCCCAACACTCTGGACTGGGGCGAATTCAGCGACAAAATCCACCAAGACCTGGGCCTTGATTGTTGTTTTGGGCTGATACCGAATGTCAAACTCACCAAGCTCAATCATCATTTCTCAGTTCGACTTGAGAAATTGGCTCGGCTGAAGACGGATCTGAGGGGGAACTCAGTGAGGACATTGATGGCGTGACCCTAGAAGTAGTGTTGTAGCTTCTTTGAGGCAATGAGTAGGGCATAAGCCAGCTTTTTCCAATGGTAGATACCATGTCTCGACATCTAGAAGAGTCTTACTGACATAGTGTATCGGCCTCTGTTCCTTTTCCACTTCGCGAATCAGTACTGCGCTTACTGCATAGTCTGAAACTACCAGATGAAGGTATAGTTCTTCCTCTGGTTCTGGAGTAGACAGGAGAGGTGGTGTGCTGAGATACTTCTTAAGGTCCTGCAGTGCCTTGGTGCACTCGAGTCCCCACTCGAACATAGCCTTTTGCCTCAGAAGTTGGAAGAAAGGCTTCATTCGGTTAAAGGACTTGCTAATGAATCGGTTTAGTGATGCCGCCATTCTATCCAATTTTTGAAGTTCATTAGCCTTTTTCGATATCTCCATCTCTTGTATTGCTTTAATCTAATCTGGGTTTGCTTCGATTCCTCTGTGAGTAACCATATAGCCCAAGAACTTCCCTGTTCCTACTATGAAAGCGCATTTCGAGGCATTGAGGTGAAGTTGATGGGTTTTCAGGATGCTGAAAACTTCTTTTAGATCGACGAGGTGGTTCATAGCAAGCTTGCTTTTTGACCACCATGCCATCTATATATGCTTCCATAGTCTGTCCGAGCTGATTTTTAAACATCCGAGTCACCATCCTCTGGTAAGTTGCTTCGGCATTTTTAAGGCCAAATGGCATTGCCTTGTAACAGTAGGTGCCTCTTGGAGTGATAAACGTTATTTTCTCTTGGTATGGGCAGAACAGAGGTATCTGGTGATAGCCGTTGTAGGCGTTTTAAAAACTCATTCGCTCATGTCCGACCGTTGAATCAACAAGCTAATCTATACGAGGCAAGAGAAAGTTGTCTTTCGGACAAACTTTATTGAGACAAGTAAAATCAACACAGACTCTCCATTTTCCATTCTTTTTCTTTACTACAACTATATTAGATAACCACTGCGGGTACTGGACCTCCCGAATTGCCCCCGCTATTAGGAGCTTATCCATTTCTGCAATCACTACTTTGGTATGCTGAATTGAGAATCTTCTGCTCTTCTGTATGACAGGTCGAGCTGAAGGATTGACATTGAGTTTATGGCAGGCAAATTTAGGGTCCAAGCCAAGGTATCGTAGGTCAACCATACAAATACCTCTATATTTTTCCTCAGCAAATCCAGTAGCTGAAGTTTCTTATCAGCACCAAGCGAGGTACCAATAAGAAAGTATTTCTCAAGGTCGCCTTCTTCATCAAAACTTTCTCTAGATCTTCCACTATCTTTTCGGTTGGTGTTCTACTGACATCTTCCAAGATAGGTTGATCTGTCATTTCTACCATCTGAACCCGATCACAGAGCTGTTTGGTCTTCATGACAGCCATGAAACAATGCTTTGATGCAACTTGGTCCTTCGAAATCTATTCTACTCTATGTTCCATTAGGAAGCAGATGAGCTGGTGGTAGGTTGAAGGGACTGGTTTCATTTAGTGAATCCATGGTCGACCAAGGATGGCGTTGTAAGGGGATGGAGTATTTACAACCAAGAATTCAATTTGTAGAGTCCTCGTCCCAGCTATTGCAAGTAATACTATCCTGCCAAGTGGCCATTTGGGTTGAGAATTGAAGCCGACCAGTAGTGTCGTTGCTGGAGTGAGATGTTGCTTAGTGAGTTTGAGCTTCCTGAACAAATCATAATATAGGATATCTATAGCGCTACCCTGGTCCACTAAGACTCGTTTCACATCAAATTTTTTTCCAATCTCGACAATAATAATCAATGCATCAGTGTGTGGATATTAAATTCCTTCTAAATCTTTCTCGGTAAATGAAATAGTACATAAGGGAGATTTAGGTACTGTTCTAACCTTTTTCAGTACAGGACCGATTGATATTACTTGCTGAATCTGTGCAGCTTTTGCAATTTCCTCTTGAAGTACTTCCTCCTGCTCGAGACTGGTTGTGCCATGGATCACGTTGATGACCAATCAAGGGAGATGCTTGGCCTTTGGTTGTGGTTGGGGGTTTCCCTGTTCGGTCATGATCTTGTCTGGATTGATGTATTCCTGGAGGTGTCCAACAGCTACCAAATCTTCCAAATGTCATTTTAATGCTCTGCAGTTCTAGTCATATGCCCCATATCCTGGTGACAGGTACACCTTAGCTTTTGGTTGCGCCGAGTTAGGTCTTCTAACATCTTTGGTGGCCAAACAAGGAATGGTTCTATCTTGATTTTCTCCATGATATGGTAGATAGGCTCTTTGAACACTGTGATAACTGCTTCATGGGATTTAGACTTGTCTACCTCGTTCATTGTGACTTCTCAAGGTTCTCCTTGGTCTGCTCTTCGTTGGTCTCCCTGGCTCGGCTATTCGGCCGACACCATTTCGATGGAAATCTTATAATCTTTAAGACGAGCGTACTGCTTAATTCTGGCACGTAAATCCCTCAGTGCAGTGATTGGGCGTTTGGTAAGAAATTATCTCAACTTGTTTTCCTGCCGCAGACCATGTTTGAAAGATATCACTACCATCTGTTCGCTGCAGATATTCTCCTCCAAATTGTTGTATTCTTCCTAGTACCTTCTTGCGTAGTTACGCAGTGTTTCCTTCTTTTCCTTTCAGAAACCAAACAAGGTGTCTGGTTCCTTTGGGATATTAGTGTTGGAAACAAATCTGGCCAAGAATTCTTCAGAGAGCCGTTTTCAATTATAGATTGATCCAGCAGGGAGACGATCAAACCATCAGAGTTCGAACTCCCCCAGGCTGGATGGAAAGACCTTGCACATCAGTGCCTCATTTCGGTTCCATAAAGACATCATCTGCCGATAATAGCTAATGTGTGTAAGTGGATCTAACTTCACATCATATGGTGTAAATTTCGATGGGGTGAACTTCTTGGGAGGTTTCATAGCTTCAATGTCTGGAGTCGATTCAGTGCTCGGTGCTCCCTCTGATGAACAATGCGATCAAGGTGCTGAGCTTCTCGTTCCCGCCGTTGCTCGTTTTCTTTGTTCCCAACCGATCAGGTGCGGAGATCCTGAGGACAGAGAGGATACTCCATCTACTGGTTCACCATTTTTTGCCTCTTAGCCTTCTTCCGGCTTGAGCCGGGTGTGACTGCTTGCTGCTTCACTTTGCACCGGAGTTGGCTGACATCACTACCCATAATCATTTATAGGAACCTTCTTCGCTAATGGTTCTAGGGATGGACTTCTCCGAAGCAGGCGAAAGGTTCTGTATCGATCCTCTTCTCCATCAGGTCGCCCATCATTTTCTTAAGTTGTGTTTTTAATTCTTGTATCTCCATACCCATGGAATCGATGATATGATCTCTATAATCTTTCTTCAACAGGAAATGGTGAGAAAAGCCACCAGCAAAGGGCTGGCAGTCCTCAACAGAGTCTAGAGTCCGGTTGTTGTTTCCGGTCTACTCCTCTAGAACTGTTGGCAGCACTAGGCCCTTATCCTTCATCTTCTCCGTCAGTCGAGTTGATGTAGATGGTGGGATATCCTCAATTCCTATAGCTGAAATTAGATACAGAACTTAGAGATGAAGGATCCACCTTCACCGCACTAATTGTGCGTACCGAATCCCGCACTAGATGAAAGTGGATTAGAGCTCTGCGACTGAATGGACTATCTAAGAACTGAGGACTTGTCAACATAGAATACCTTCAGAACTACCCAGCCAGGATTGGCCAGAAAACCCCTCCGGCGTGGGAATGAGTTATTGGAGAAGATGAAGAACTCTCTCTAAGTGTAGAGAGAGGAAATGAAGGAATGTGTTCAGTTGTGTTTAAGTATGTAGAGTTGTCATGAGAAAAGATTGGATTAGATACCTTCAATGTGAAGAGAGTGAAGCTTTATATAAAAGACTTTGCTTGTTGCCCAAGATGGTTTCATGGAGCTTTGGTGCTTTAAGGCTTCCCTTAACATTACACAAGATGGAGGACCTCAAGGTAGTTGACAATGGATGCATGTGCTCATTATAACCATGCATATAACAGATCACATTCCCTATGCTAACAGTTTCCGTGATTCTAGGGGGAAGAGACCAGCTAAGGTGGCAGCTTGGACATGCATGCATTCATAGCTTCTATGTTTCTCCGAGAGATTCCCTCAGCTCAGTGTCATTGTGCCTTGGCTTGGCCTTTCATAAGACTGCTTGCAAAGATGGGCTGGCCCATTTAGATATCTTTATGTGGGCTCGACCCACTTTGGTTATGATGATGGGTTTGGCCCATTAGTTTGGTCCATGGATTAAGTCTAGCAGTTTGGCCCAGCCTGGTATCACGGCTTGGACTGGCCTTTCCATTGCGAGTTAGGCCCAAGTGCTTGAGGACTTTGGAAAAACCTTTTTTAATGGAGATGGGCTTAACTAACTGGCCCACATACTTGCCTGACCCACTTGGGTTTGGGCTTAGCGAATTGGACTGGCCCAAGGCTTGGATCTGACCTGTTTTACATTCTGTCCCTTCACTATGCACAAGCAATAACAGGCTTTATAAACCAAAAATACTAAGGTGCAAACACAAAATGAACTTTTCATGTAATTTCTAATCACTTTGCTTTTAACTTAATCAATCACTATACGATAAACTATTTCAATACATGTAAAAAGCAATCATAAGTAATTAAAAAATCCTTCTCATCTCTATATATGTTTTCCCCCAAAACACATAGAACCTAGATTACACATGGATGATGAAGTTATGCAGGATCATGTCTTAATTATTATTCACAATAGCACAAGTCAATAAAAGCGATGCCTTCAGTAGAATCAATGTTCAACATTGCCCATCTGAACACTAAAAATACATAAACGAAATTGTGCTTCCTGGATGATTTCAATAACCAATGCCCCTTACTAAAGGTGTTAATTCAAACATCTTGCATCTCACTTTCAAGAGAAAAATAATACCTATTAGAACTCTTTTGAGAAGAAGGAAATCATTTTTGAAATTATTGGACACCTTGCTAAAAGTTTTTGTGACACTGATTTTCAAAAAACACCAATAGCCTAATTTTATGTTTGGATTATGGATTTGGGAAGCCATTTGACGATAATATGGAGAAAGAAAATTTAGCTTATATTTCGTTCACATTTCCTTTACCTCTTACTTTCTCTTTCTAAATCCCTACCCAATTTCATAATCCCTAACTTCTAGCATTTGGATGAAAGCAAGTCCCTTGATGTTTTAATAACATTCAAATTTATTAAAAAAAAAAAAAAAGCATTTAGATTAAATTCCTTCACTCGAGCTCATTCACACATCTATTAATCTAACTATGCCTATGGTGTTGATTCATAATTCCACTTCCCATGATGTCTCCCATTTCTGTTTCCCAGCTAGTCGCTATGGAGAAAACTCATTCCCTACATATTCTTGTCTAAATTAGAATAGTGCTCTATCATTTGGGAGACACAAAATTGTAGGATCGCTACAAATTTGTTCACACCTAATTTTTAATAACAATGTTATTAAACATTTTGAATATGAAATCATGCTTCAAAGATGTAAGGTTTGGGATATAATTTATCAGTTGGGACCTTCAATGGTAAACAAAACCCTTAACTAAAGAGACATGCATGAATGATTGTAGTATTCAACAAAAATGGATATTTTAGACATTTTATATACACTTATATTAAGTTGGAAGATTTATTTATCAATCCCATTTAGTGGACTTATAACCTAATAAGTCCATAAAATTTTCTAATGTTCCATCAAGCCCCATATATTTAGACTTATATTCTAATAGGTCATTTATCCCATATTAGAATTATTATATGGATTATTTTACCCTTTGTGCATACTGAATCCCGCACTAGATGAAAGTAGATCGAAGCTCTGCAGCTAGACTAGATTATCTAGGAACTGGGGACCTACAACACAAAACACCATCAGAGCTGCCCGGCCGAGATTGGCCAGAAAATCTCATCGACATGGGAATAAGTGATTAGCGAAGATGAAGGACTCTCTCTAGGTGTAGAGAGAGAGAAGGAAAGAAAGAGGAGTGTTTGAGTAGAGACAGGGTGAGTTAGTTCAACTTCAATTACCTTTCCATGTCAAGAGAGTGTGGCTTATATAGAGTACTTTGCTTGTTGTCCAAGATGGTTTCATAGATTTTTGGTGCCTCAAAGCTTCTTTTAGTATTGCTCAAGGTGGAAGACCACAAGGTAGTTGACTACAGATACATGTGCCCATTGTAACCATGCATATAACAGATCACATTTCCTTTACTAACGGTTTTTGTGATTCCAGGAGGGGGGACTAGCTGAGGTGGCAGCTTGCTTATACATTTGTTCACAACTTCCACGTTTCTTTGAGGGGTTCCCTCAGCTTGATACCGATGTGCGCCGACTCGGCCTTCTGTAAGATTGTTTGCTGAGATGGGCTGCCCCATTTGGATACCTTTATGTGGGCTTGGCCTACTTCGGTTCTGATAATGGGTTCGATCCATCAGTTTAGTCCATGGATCAGGTCTAGCAGCTCGGCCCAGCCCAACATCACAGCTAGACTAGGCTTCCCATTGTATGTTGGGCCCAAGTGCTTGAGGACTTGGAAAGATCATTCATCATGGATATGGGCTTAGTTGGTTGGCCCACACATTCGTCTAGCCTACTTGGGTTTGGGTTTAGTAGATTGGACTGGTCCAAGGCTTAGATCTGACCTATTTATATTCTACCACTTCATTTGCAGCCCTAGCTCGTGCTAAGGTTCCCTTGGGGGGAGCTACTACTTAACCTTCCAAACGTAGCATCATTTTGGTTTCACTCCAATTCGGCCTTGGTGGCGATTCAAGTCCTGACATACGCGCTTTGCATGCGCCCTTTTATAGTGACATATGACAGTGTGGTGTTAGTGTGTAGAGGTAGGGCGTCGCTCTCCTGTAGAGGGACGTGATTTGTATTATCACGTCGTGACCTATTTATATTCTACCACTTCATTTGCGGCCCTAGCTCGTGCTAAGGTTCCCTTGGGGGGAGCTACTACTTAACCTTCCAAACGTAGCATCATTTTGGTTTCACTCCAATTCGGCCTTGGTGGCGATTCAAGTCCTGACATACGCGCTTTGCATGCGCCCTTTTATAGTGACATA